TCAATTTTAAAGTACTCATCTGAAGCGTCTCGTCGCGTTCTTTCGTTTGCCGCCTCGTGCGTTTCGCTGCGCCTATTGGTTCTCGAGTTATCGGCTGGGGGCGTTTAAAGCCCCCCCCCCTCCCCCCAGCAAACGGTGGGTGGCGAAATACCCCAGCAACTGCCGGGTTAAGACAAAACTGCATACCCAAGGTTTATGCATCCTCTCTCTCTCTCTCTCTCTCTCTCTCTCTCTCTCTCTCTCTCTCTCTCTCTCTCTCTCTCTCTCTCTCTCTTCCCATCTATCTCCTCTTCTCCATGTTCTGATTTATGATTCTGATCTCTCTTTGTTTCTTTTTTTCAGAGACGGCGATTCCCCAGACTTGAACAGAGACGTCACGGAGGGGATAGGTCGTCAGTCGCGACCCGAACAAATATGACGTCATTGGTAGTCAGGAACCAACGTCACGGACGGGATAGTTCGTCAGTCGCGACCCGAACAAATATGACGTCATTGGTAGTCAGAACCAACGTCACGGACGGGATAGTTCGTCAGTCGCGACCCCAACAAATATGACGTCATTGGTAGTCAGGAACCAACGTCACGGACGGGATAGTTCGTCAGTCGCGACCCGAACAAATATGACGTCATTGGTAGTCAGAACCAACGTCACGGACGGGATAGGTCGTCAGTCGCGACCCGAACAAATATGACGTCATTGGTAGTCAGAACCAACGTCACGGACGGGATAGTTCGTCAGTCGCGACCCGAACAAATATGACGTCATTGGTAGTCAGGAACCAACGTCACGGACGGGATAGTTCGTCAGTCGCGACCCGAACAAATATGACGTCATTGGTAGTCAGGACCAACGTCACGGACGGGATAGTTCGTCAGTCGCGACCCGAACAAATATGACGTCATTGGTAGTCAGGAACCAACGTCACGGACGGGATAGTTCGTCAGTCGCGACCCCAACAAATATGACGTCATTGGTAGTCAGAACCAACGTCACGGACGGGATAGTTCGTCAGTCGCGACCCGAACAAATATGACGTCATTGGTAGTCAGAACCAACGTCACGGACGGGATAGTTCGTCAGTCTCGACCGGAACAAATATGACGTCATTGGTAGTCAGGAACGGAAATTATGACGTCATACATAGTCAGGAATAAACATATTGTCAACAAAAGTCTTAGATAAAACTTAGCACGTCATAACTAGCTGCTAGGAAATATAATGAAGTCGTCAACAATGAAGTGCTTACATGATGATGGATCACCACAAATAAAGAGCAAATAGGTATCATTCCAAGCCCTCAAAAGTCGCGAGGAATTTTGATGACGTCTCCAAACAACAGCCCCGACAGATATAATGACGTCACGAATAGTCACGAAAAAATGTGATAATGTTACAAAAGCCACAAGCAGCTATGATGACAACCATCAATGTGTAGTCAATTCAAGATAAGACATACCAGAATAGCAATCTATGTCTTTTCTGGCTGTCTTAAACATTTTCCACCGATCATAGCAGAAAAGCATTTGAAACACACTCATGTAACCGAGATTTCGAAGTTATGCTATAGCATAACTTTGCCGACGTCGTATATACGACGGCGGCACACCGTATCGGCATAAAGTCAACACAACGTAAAATGACGGACCTTTCGTCAACTTTGCTGACGCACGCCTGTAACGTTGCCATAGCGACCCGACAACGTTGTATCCATAAGTAACCGAAATGCAACGTTTTGACAACGTTGTACCAACGACATCCGTGAGCTGGGCAAGACACTGAAACCCAATGACGACTTCACTGTACCAAGTTGTAGCAGCGCCCAATTTTTACGACCTTTAGGTCATTGACTTGACCTGGAAGATCAACCATTGAACTAGGACATTGGACAAACTCTGCGGATAATTGGCCTCCTCTCGACACATGCAACATGCTCGTTTTTTTTTTCCGCGAAGCTTTATTTTCGTTAAGAAAGTATCGCTATCCAGTATCCAACATTGTTATCTGCCGTTATCGACCGTTAATACTGGATATTGCCGAAAAACGGTTATGGGCAGATTCTGCCTCCCCCCCCCCTCCCACCCACCGGCGAAGGTCAGCGTAGCAAAAGAACGCATGGAAAAAACGATAGAACTTGCATGTATTTATTGTGAGCAATCTCAAGCAGCAAAAGCATTCTCATGTGAGTGAAGTGTAGAACTCTTGTCCTGTAATAAAAACGCGTAGTTCATTCACCTCTCTCCGATAAAGGGGAATGAACTCTGATCCGATCCGATAAAGGTCGAGTGTGTCTCGTTTGCGAGCTTTCGAGATCATACATCATTCACACATTTGTAGACAATGTGGGAAAAGCCACTTATTCCTGATCCCTATAGCCGTACACAACATCGGCACTTATCCATTAATTACACTTGTTTCTCACGTCAACCAGTTTCTATCAAGTTTACACCCAACAGAAAATTCCACAGCACACGCCATGTGAATGTACAGTCTCTCACAAAAGTACCGATACACAGACAATGTGAGGAGCGGAGAACCGCCGGCTTCACTCGCCCCGCCCCCCCCCCTCCCGCCATCATCATCCATCCCAAGGTCAGGTGGTTCGGTGGCCCTCAAACTTGGCAGTCCTCCCTCGGTCGGGTTTGTTGACACCGCCGCACCGTGTATCGATACGAGACACTGAGCGCACTAATAACTATTCAGTTTTCACAGGCGTAGTTCGAAAGGTAAAGGACATATGGTCAGTGGCGGCGGAAGGTAATTTTGGATGGGGGTGCAAAGTTTTCTCGAGGGGCCCCTCTGGAAGTTTGGGCCCCCTTCATTTTTTTAGTGATTATTATTGATTTATGAAAAACGAAGATATTGGAAAACTATCCCCATACACACAAGCTCTGCAAAATGTTTGAAATTGCAGTGTACCTACCTATCTCAAATAATGAAAGCATAAAGAAGCAAATGCAGCTAGTTTTTATCGGCTAATCTTTTAGTCTACCTACCACCCGCAGCGTCTCAAACCACTTTTCTGGATCCGCAGTGGACCATTGAGGGCCCTACGAGACCGTTCCAAGAATTGACCGTGTTTAGAAGCCCCTTGGAAACCGACCACATAGAGACTCCTCCAGAGACCTACATGACTCCCCAGACTGAATGAGCCCTCCGATCAGGGTCGGTCCCTCAAAAGTTGCTGAAAGGTTTCAGAAGGCAGTATAGGCTCGAAAGTCTTTTGAGGGCTCTCAGAAACCGGCATCGGACCCCAAAAAAGCCTGTATGGAGGCCCTCCAAAGCCGGGATGGAGGCCACATGAGCCAATGTTTAGCCTAAAGAGCCGGTATGGAGAACTGAATAGAGGAAAGGGGTCTCAGCGGGGCCTTCAGGGGCAAGCGTTTGAGCCTCAAAAGTATGCGTGCGGTCTTACAGGCAGGTAGACCCCTGAAGTATGCACGGGGTCCCAGGAGCTCGCGTGTGAGCCCAAATATTCGGCTGGCGGCTACTAGAACCAGCATGGGGATTCTTAGAAGCCGCTTAGACCCACATTTCACGGGTCATGAGTCCCAAGAGTCGATGTAGGGGCCATAAAAGCCGGTGTAGGGCCCATGGCCCCATAAGTTCCGACATTGAGACTCTCAGAGGCCGGCGACGGGGCACCAAGAGCAGATAAAGTGCCTCAACAAGCCGACATGGGGACTGAGAATCAGTGTGGAATTCCAGGAGCCTGCGTGAGCTCTCAGAGACCTTCGTATTTCGTAAGGTCCACAAAGGTCGTTGGGTCCTCTGAATCTGAACTCTGCGGGGCCCTCAGAGGCTAGCATGTCACCTGGCACCTGCCTGCGTTGAGTTGAGACCCTCCGAGGCCGTCGTAGGGTTCTTCAGAGGCCAGCGTTGGCCCTTGAAGCCTTCGTTAGGCCCTAGAAGCCGTCAAGAGGGCTCTCAGAAGTCAGAGGTCAGCATGGCCCCTAGAGCCTGCCTGCATCGAGGCCCTCAGAGGCCGTCGTGGGGCCCTCAGACGCCAGCGTGGGCCTTTGGAGCTTGCGTTGGGTCTAAAAGACCATCGTGAGGGCCCACAGAGGTCGTCGTCAGGGCCCTCAGCCCCTCAGGGACCGTCCTGGGGTCCTCAGAAGTTGTTGTGAGGGCCCTTAGAAGCCTTCGAGAGGATCATCAGAGGTCGTATGAGGGTCCTTGGCCATAGTGAGGGTCTTCATGGGCCTTCAGATACCTTTGCAGGGCTCTCAGAGGCCTTGGTAAGACTGCTAGAGGCCATCGTTAGGGTCCTCAATAGAGCGTTGCAGGGCCCTCAGATGCCAGCAGCCTGGTTGTGTTGGGGCCCTCAGAGGCCGTCGCTGGGCTGTCTGAAGCCAAATGGGCCCTCGGACTTGAGTTGGGTCTAGGACCGTCACGAGGGCCTTAGAGACCGTCGTAGAGGCCCTCAGAGGCCAGCGGGCCCCTGGAGTCCTGTGGGACCCTCAGCGGTCGTCATGAGGGCCCTTAGTGGTCGTTATAGGGCCCCAGGGGACAGAGGTCGCCGTGAGAACCCTCAGAGATCATCGTAAGGGCCCTCAGAGGCCGTCATAGGGGCCCTCAGAGGCCAGCGTGGCCCCTGGAGTCTCCTCGGGACCCTGGAGTCTCTGTGGGACCCTCAGCGGTCGTCATAAGGGCCCTTAGTGGCCGTTGTAGGGCCCCAAGGGACAGGTCGTCGTGGGAGCCCTCAGAGATCGTCATAAAAGGGCCCTCTGAGGCCGTCGTGGGGGCCCTCAGATGCCGCATGGAGCACCAAACGCGGCTTGGGACACTTCTAGCCGGTGTGGGGCCCCAAAGACTAGCATGGGGCACTCCTGGCCATAATTGGACATCCCGGATATCAGTGTTCGTTTCCCGATCACTGGTTTTCAGGAGAAAATGTATTGGATGGTGCGACGGGCCCCTTGTACGGATTTTGGGGGTGCAAAAAGATATGTTTGCACCCCCATGTTTTTCGATGGGGGTGCAGCTGCACCCCCCGCACCCCCTATTCCGCCGCCGCTGCATATGGTGCGTTCATTCTATCGATTCCGTAGAGCAGGGTGCTCTAACAGATAAGGCTGGATAAGGCAACATGATCATCTAACTGTGCATCTTACCCATATTTGTATTCCCCAAGTCACACAATCTCTAATATTGCTCACATCATTTGAATGATTTTCACCGAACTATCACGTCATTGTTTCTCATCATACATGATACAGAAGACACATAAGCAGAAGCAGCGTAGTAAGAACGAGCAGGCGTTATGTTCGACCCCACCGTGTTCACCCGGTGCACGCTGATGCTGAAGGAGCGCAGCTTCACCAGCTCCCAGTTGGTGATAAAGCCCGGCAGACTGTCGTCCCATTTGTCCGTCACCTCGGCGTCTTGTGATGAGCCAATCAGAAGGGGGAACGAGCCTGCCGGACGAGGTAGGTATGACGTCATTACTACGACTATTAGTTTGGACTATAAGTAATGCCGTATTGCCGCATTCTTTTGTTAGCTTATATAGAAATACATTTTTAAATAAGTATGTCTTGAAAAAAAAAAACAAGCTAACCTAACCTTACTTGTCCAAGCAGTACTGTTGACAATTTGTAATAAGAACATTCTCCTTTCACAGTGGATTGTCACATAGGCGCTCTCTCACGTGGGAACGTGAGGCGCACAGTGACGTCAGCAGAGGAATTAATGGAGTATGAAAATAAGTGACGTCATCACAGGTCTCCAATGACATCTATAGAATGCAGTTTGGGGTATATACAAGTGACAAGAACAGACAAAATGACAAAACAGTGATGTCACTGAGACGTGGAACAAAGTGACGTCACGGGAGTAGTACGGTAAGGCATCTCATCTCGGGCAGTGACCTTCAAGTCCACCGCTAAATGGTCAGAACTCAGACCTCAGAGTGAAATCTATTTGTTCGCATTGCTTTCGCCTTTCCAAGATATTGGTCGCAACGACCAATCGCTTAGGTGCGTACTAATTGATGACAAAATGTTGTGATGTTAACCCTCGCACGACCAGGCCATTTCTCATAACACGAACGACCAGGGGGGGGGGGGGGGGTTGTTACGACCCCCCCTGGCGTTTCGAAACGGAAGGTCGTAGAGCTTAGCGGAAAGAACCAACGGATTGCTCTCAACGAGATCTCGCGATTGGTGGTATATTTTTTGGTCCTAGGTCAACATTTGACCTACTTTTGACCGGTCAAAGGTCAAATTTTCGGAAAAATAGACTTTTTTTTCAACTTTCGGCGGCGATTACGGCAAAACGGTGGGAGATATCGACTTGAAACCTTCACTATCGTGCTCCTTGATCAATTCTCTATCGTTTGGTATGTATTTCGTTTCCCTAGCTCTAAAAATGGCGCGTTGGGAGCGCCGGAAGTCGGCAAGGTCACAGTCGGCGGCAGAAATTCGAAAAATCAAAATTTAAATTTTGAAATCTGATTGTATTTTTGGATTTGGGAGGTCCATTTGCTCCCTCTAGAAGCTAATATTGCTGCATATTCCCATTGAGGTGACAAGAATTAGCAAAATAGTGGTTCGGACGCTTTTCAAAAATATTACCGGACGCTGTTCCTCTTGTGACGTCATAACTCCGTGACCTGACCTGACCCGGTCAATTTTCTTGCACCACACGATAGCCAATGCTTGCCCCAACATGCATGGGAAGTTTCATCATGATCCATCAAACAATGTGGGTAGCACCGGCAGAAAACCTAGGGATTCGGCGCACACGTTTGGTAACTGTCGGCCGGAGGCTGTACCTCTTATGACGTCATAACTCCGTGACCTGACATGACCCGATCAATTTTTTTTTCGGCAAAAGATGCGCAAAGGTTGCCCCAGAGGGTATTGAAAATTTCAGCCCGCTACGACAAGCCGTTTAGCGTGCACTTCGAAAAAACCTCAGGGGGGGGGGGTTGATACAACCCCCCCCCCCCTAGGCGTTCTAGGGTTAAATGTTCTACCTACCCTCTGCCGTTGCCGTGTCATACTGATATCGCATGGTGAGGATACGATGGTGCTGCCACCTAGTTTGGAAAGTGCTGCCACCTGGTGTACTCACCGAGAATGATCACCACTGACACCGCTGTGGGTGTCGGCGAGTCGTTACAAGTGATGATCGTATCTACATAGTATTTATTCGTCGCACCTCACAACCTTGATGTTGCCGGTCTGAGACGGTATTCTCAGCCTGTCATAAACGGCTCCTGCGGATAAGACAACGAAAGAGAGGTTACACATAACATCTCATACACAATGAGGAAAATTCTTTTCATGGTTCAAAATAAGCACGAAGTACGAACAAAAGTTTTGTTTAACGTGATATGATTTAACCCGCGCCCCGTAGGGGGGGGGGGGCCGAAACGGCCCCTCCCTGTCCTTTTCCGTCGATATCTCCTAAACGGCTGGAGATATCGCCACCAAACTTTTAGGACCCCTCCGGGCATCAATTTTACACATTGTGACCAAAAATTTTTCCAGAGGCTATGATAGGGTGGCCACAAATGACGTCAGAATGACGTCATGTTCTGTCATTTTCGACCGAAAAAAGACCTTCGCGAGAAGACCTGTCAGGCCTACAGCTTTGAAGATACAGAAAAATGATCAAGACATAAAAGGTGTAGAATTGACAGGGCTACAAAACTGCTATCTCGGATTTTTGAAATTTTTGAGTTTTGACCCCCAAAAATCAAAAAAGCATTTTTTTGGATATATTACCCAAAAAATCCAACAAGTATTTTGAATTTCGAAAAAACCGGAGTATATGTGATAGTACCCACCGTCTCCTATCTACATACCAAATTTCAGATCGATACCTCGTTTTTTGGCCAAGTTATAGCGAAAAAACTGTTCAAAAATGATGACGTCAAATTTTCAAACTCAATTTTTGGCAGTTCTAGACCTCGTAGAGCAAAACAAAGACCACCATTAGACTCCCCGTGACGAGCTGCATCGAATCGATACCCATTTTATGCAAAAATATCAACTTTGAAATTTGACCTAGTTTGACCTGACCTTGACCTGACCTTCACCAAAACGTGACCTGGGCTGGCCCCAAAGGCTGCCTAACCCACATAATCGCATTTGTAATGTAAAATGGACCATAAAACATGTATCACACGACACTTCAATATTGTGACCCCGGTGACCTGACCTCGCTGTGACCTGACCTGGTATCAGTGACCTCAGATAGCAAAGTATGTGTTTGACGAACAATGTACCATCGATGGTTTTAAATAAATTACCAATTTACTCGATTTCACAACACATTTCTTGAAATGCCTGTCAATGGTGAAAATCCGACCTTTGACCTGACCTGTGACGTCATCGGTTTGACCTAGGTCAATGAAATTTGGTCACAAGGTAGTTCCCGGGTGGGGCTATCGAACGCCGTTTGAATTTTGAAAATCGGCCGGTAAATTTCCGAGATCTTAGGGGAGGGGGCCGAAACGGCCCCCCCCCCTACGGGTGGTAGGGTCCGCCGATAGCCCTACGGGGCGCGGGTTAACACATCACCAATTTTGGACTTCTGACGTGACGCCTCAGAATGGCACAAAACAGCACGGGTGAGCAAATTGTGTCTCATGCAGTAACTAAATGCAAAAGTAGGTACAGCTATATCAACCAGACACAAATGGTCAGGTTGGATAGGTTCATTTATCTTCACAAGTCCGACACCAGTCACAAAACTGGTTGGTTACGGAGCGAGCGAAGCGAGCGGAGTCTTACGTAGAATAACGGAAATTTCTGAGTATGAGCGGCCGGCCGGCCGGCCGGCCGGCCGTGGTCACGCTTTCGCGAGGCTTATATCTCAGCAACCACTTGACCGATTTACATGCGGTAATTTTTGTGGGGTAGCTTCATTCCTTCTACCAAGTATTGGACTATTCCCGATGCATGTGGGTGACCCCTTATGCACGTGCCACGTGCAAAACGAAGAGGTGTCACTTTTGTAATTGTTGCAATATCTCGGTAACTACTTGGCCGATTGCGCTGAAAGTTGGCATGTAGGTAGGCACCCACTAGGCACTGCATATCCATGTGCCAGAGTTGGGGTGCTGCTGCACGTGCGCACGTGCAGGGGTCGTTTCCAGATCTCGAGAACGGCTGGACCGATGGCGCTCAAATTTGGTACATGGTTAGGGACCGGTTAGTAGGGTGCCGTGCAAAAATCAGTTGGGACCCATTTTGCACGTGCGCACGTGCAGGGTGCCGCTTCCAGATCTCGAGAACGGCTGGGCCGATTGTGCTCAAATTTGGCACATCGCTAGAGACCGGTTAGTAGGGTGCCGTGCACAAGTCAACTGCAGGAGGTACCCCCTCGAAATTTCGCACGTGCAAGGCTCACCCTCTCGCTCGCTCCGTTAGTCGCCCCAAAAGGCGCTATACTGGTAGTATATATCTGCCAAGGCCGTATAAGAGAGGTAGAATCATCCCGCAATTTCCAATGGACCGGTCGCTAAGCATTAGCGTGACGTCACTGGTGGAGACCGCGCGGCGCCCGGCTCCAAGCCGTATGTCGGGTACATTTGACATTTTTTCGTTGTTATTACTGAACGTAACGACAACTAATGACTCTTAATAACTTTTTACCCACCTAAAGCTGATTTCCTTGCCGATACATTGCCGACCCGAGCCCCAGGGTTGACAATCTTGGGATATGGGTCGGATGGGCGACCTCGCGACGGGAGAAGGAACGATTGCAATTGTTGTGTCCCGCACCGCCGATTGCATTCTCTATCTGCACCCGGAGGGGGGGGGGGGCAGGGGGCACGTGCCCCCATCGGATCAGGGGGCCTCTCGGGCCCGAGGGGCCCTGCGACGCCAATTGGCGGCTGAGGGTCCACGCTGGCATTTTCGACTCAGAAGGGCCCCACAGGGCTCGAAAGAACACCTTATGTGCTCCGAATAGCCACACTTCTCTCCATAAGAGTCACACACCGGCTTTTTATTGTCCCTTGTCGGCATTTGAGGGCCCCTCGCCGGCCTCTCAGGGCCCATTGGCGACCTCTGAGGGCCCTTACCGGCCTATCAGGGACCAGCAGCTCTAAGGGTTCCACACACGTCTGTGATGACCCCCTAAACCAATGGGTGATGGCCCCACAAAGGCGCCTGCGAGGGCCCTCACCGGCGGCTGTGAAAGCCCCAAACCGGTGCCCAGCTGAGGGCCCCACACTGCCACCTCAGTTCAACCAGCACCCCTGAATGAAGTCCCAAAGGCCCAAACCAGTGCTTCTTGGCCATATATTTATCGGCGGCTCTGAGGGCTGAACGCCGGAGCCCCTGACTGCCCCAGACGGGACCTTCGCATTGGACGGCCAGTGGCCACTCACCGGTGACTTTTGAGGGCCCCACAACGACGACTCTGAGGGCCCCCACCGGCGTCTGAGAGTACCTTGCTGGTCTCTGAGGACTCCACAGGGCTCCTGAAGACACCGCAGACCTCTTGAGGGCCCCTTGTCGGTCTCTGAGAGCCCCTGTCGGCTTATAAAGGGCTCGAGCCAGCAGCTCTAAGAGTCCCAACTCCCACACCCGACTGTGATGACCCCACACTGCAGTGTCTCTGAGGGCCCACGATGGCAACTGTGAGGACCCTCACCGGCGCCTCTGAGGGCCACATACTAGCACTTCAGAGGGCCTACAGCGGCACCTCGGGGGCCCCGCACCAATGCCTCTGAGGGCCTCACACCGGTACCTACCCGTGAGTGCCCCTGCCCACACCAGTGCCTCCAAAGGCTTCATAACCGACGGCCCTGAGGGCACTACACCGGTAATTTTGGGGGCCTACCGAAGGCACAACACAATTAGTCTCGCTGAGTTGCTATCCCAATCCCATACCGGCTTCTATCCCAATTCCGGCTCAACTAATTAGCAGCCCCCCCCCATGGCTCAGGGGCGCCGCGCCGGTGCCGGTGCCGGGGGCCAGCGCCATCCGTAATCCCATCCGCCATCCGGTAGTCGGCCACGCGTGCTCACTTAGCACTTAGCACCGGCGGCTAGCGCACGCCCGGCGTGTTATCGCCCGTGAGCCGCTCCAAAACGGCTGCAGTATCTGGTCGATATAGGCAGTAAACAGATGAGGAGATGCAGGTGGATTGATGACCGGCAAGCGCTTTTGTGCTTTACGAGGGCGAAGGGTCGAAGTCGGCTGCTAAGCCGTGAGCGGGGTTTATCAGATGCCGGTTCACTATGACCTTTATCCGGGTACCCTGACGCACTCTTGGAGAGCCGAATTACAGCAAAACTCCATCCACGACTGTATCTATACGGCTTACGCTTTTCTGAAAACGTTTGCGTTTGGTCTTCTACGGGCCCGGCCCGGCCGGCCGGCCGAACGGCCCCGATTGGCGATCCACCAGTGACGTCACTGGTAGTGTTAAGCTGATTGGCGAATAATACATGGGGAGAACCGGGACGACATCCCCCTGATATCTGCGTAAGCCCAATTCAGCACCAAAGACATGTAACAATGACAGTACCTACGTGAACTCTATGTAGGTACGTCCCGTGGTGGTGAACATGTCCATAACATCAATTCATACCACACACCGCGTCAGAGCTCAAGCCATACCAATTACCTACCTAAATACGAGTGACGTCATCTTACTATACTGGCTAACCTATCATAGGAATCAGCTAGTGTTTGGCATTGTTCACACTCGAACAATCATTCACGCCACACATGAGGGTAGACTCATCTACATATGAATGGCATCACTATGCTGTTTATATCAGTTATGACGTCATATCAGCGTTATGTGTTCATCTCCACCCGTTGAGAGGGTGTACGACAGCGGCTCCGAGAGGCCGGTGGCGCCGAGCAGTCCCTTGTGGGACTGATCAGAGGCGCTGGGCGGCGCCGTCACTCACCATGGACCAAGAACCCCAGTGTTCTCGGCGTGCCGTCATCTCTTTTCCCCAGGTCTGCCCGGACCAGGGCGTCCAGGACCGACTGACTGAGCTCCCCCGTTGCGTAAAAGAGCAGCCACTCCAGTCTCCGACAGGTAACCACCAGCCTGCGACAGATCAGGACACAGGCCAGTCAGCGACACCAGCCGGCCGACCGGCCGTCTGGAAGGGACGGGTCCGGTCTCCACAGGGCCACAAGTCCAGTTCGGTCCGGCCCCGATGCCGTGCGTCAGCTAATAGCTATAGTGATTGCTAACTACTATGGGTCTGTATGCTCGTTATAGTGACAATAGCCGTTTTCACGACGGGCTATCCGGCGAATGCACCTAGTTTGACCAAATCTGCAACTAATCTCTTTATCAGCGAATATCTTCATGTTATAAATTTATTTCAGTGTTTAAATTGATAATACTCTCTGATAATATAACAAAGCAGGCACATAAGCAATTAGGAGGCAACCCTAGCTTATAGCTGCTAAGAGACACACTGAGCCTAATTTGACCAAATCTGCACCTAATATGCACCAAATGCGCACCAAATGTGTACCAGATGGCCGTCATGACAAGTAAAACGGCTAATACATACCAATACCAAGGCACATGCAGACAAGCGGTAGCATGCATTGGTCCCGTCTAGCTAGAACTGGTCTGAGTCTGGTGTGGTCTAGTTCTGGTCTAGGCCTGGTCTGGGTCTGGGTCTGGGTCTGGGTCTGGTCTGGGTCTGGTCTGGGTCTGGTCTGGTCTGGTTTGGTCTGGGTCTGGTCTGGGTCTGGTCTTGGTCTGGTCTAGGTCTAGTCTGGTCTGGTCTGGTCTGGTCTGGGTCTGGTCTGGGTCTGGTCTGGGTCTGGTCTGGGTCTGGGTCTGGTCTTGGTCTGGTCTAGGTCTAGTCTGGGTCTGGTCTGAGTGAACAGCTAACTGACCTGCTGACCTCTGTGACCGGTATATCCGTACAGAGTACACTGGGCGTTCCCAGCTGCATTATACGCAGCTGGGAGCGGCCGTGGAGGGCGGCCAGTGAGGCGTCAGTGATGGCGCCGGACAGAGAGCCGTCAAGTGTGACGTCTTCCAGGCCGGTGAGGGCGGACAGCAGCCTCTGTAGGGCCCCGGCAGTGACACGCGGGCAGTCTGGGAAACACAGACACATACAGCCATGGTAGGTGAATGGCGTGGGAGCTGCTACGCTACTCGCTAGCACTCGTGCTGAGACATAGACAGGTATGGCACTGCATGCTGCATTCGAGCTGACTGTTAGGTAATATTGAGCAGTAAATAGTGATAATGAACACATTTAATATTATTTGTATGTAGGTATTTTTGTGTATATGTAAGTACGTATGCATGTACAGTTTATGTATATATCTACAAAGAAGTAGCTGTACACGCATGCATGTATATCTATATGTATATGCATTCTGTGTACAAGTAATGATGCCTACTAATGAAGAACTGCCAAGCAGAAAATGAAACAACACACCCACATAACTGGTGATTGGTGATTGGTTATGCATTTATATGGAGCACTCACCACAGGTCACCAACACCATGTTGGCGACAACACTTCCACACACACCACGAAAATGAATATCGACGTATCCGGCATATCCGTCATTTACATACCTACATAAAATATTCCAAATATACCAGCAAAAAGTATCTGACATGACTATTACTCTGATCACAGTCCCTGTTTCACCTCTCCCTGAACGGTGTTACCATAATCAGTTAGGTATATGGTGTTCGTCACCATACCTAACCACTTATAACGATAACCTGTCCGTGTCACCACCACTCACTGAACATGACCAGCGCGGTAACCCGTGGTCCCAGCTCCTTGGCCAGCTGGTTGATGACGTCATCTCCCGCCTGTTCTATGACGACCTCCAGCCCATGGTCGAGCCGTCTGTCCTTCGCCAGTGTCAGCGGCTCCCCCGTCTCCCCCAGTCCTGTCGGAGAGAGAGAGCTGTGTCAGCTGACTGCAGTCGGACGGAGCTGCCGCCGGGTCGGGAGGCGGCTGACACAATGGTATCTAACAATGATACAGCCGATACTGACACAGACACAGCCGACTCGTCACTGATAGGAATGAGTTTGACAATGTCTGTTGTATACAAGCACACATATTGTTATACCTACATAGCTCAGCATGGACCATGAACTATGAACAATAGAGATTGAACACTATCGACGATGCTGTCAAAACTATCTGTATTAGATGTCAGGCCATGATCAACATTAGGCGTCGGTTTCCTATGATCATTTGTAGAGCATGTGTTCTTCAAAACAACGTCTATCATAATTTTAACCAGAGTTACAGTCGCATTACACATTTTAGGTACTGTGATGATGCCACTGCCCGCTAAAACACTGTTTTTGTGTGTAGATTAACCCGCGCACCGACGGGGGGGGCGGATATCCGCCCCCCCTGAGGTTTTTCGCGGATAGCGGGAAAACCGCGGCGCGTAGCGCCGCGAAATTTGGTATGACTATTCTCTCATCAATTTTACACATGGTGTGCAAGTTTGAACCTCCTAACTTTTAGGGTCAGGTCACCAGGTCACTTGGAATGACCCAACCTCAAGTCACTTTTTTGCAACTTTGTCACCGTGCCAGAGCTACAGTAGATGTCGGAGGCCTTTGAACGTCGCAGGATGTTATTAGGTCATTAGTAGCTACAATTTGTATATCTCGGAATTTTGATGTCGGTGACCTAAGGTCAGGTCAATTTCGCGACCTCCCCATTATAAGTCAATGGGGGAAAAATCAACTCCCTGTTTTTACCACTAAAACGGGTCGGAATGGCCCCATATACCATACATGACTTCACATACGATCAACCTTCACTACCTTGAGGTCTGTTTTGCTGTTGGGCAGCTGTAAGGTCATGTGACGTCATCAAAGGTCACCAAAGGTTTTTTGCCAATAACTCCTTACAGGAACAAGATACAGCCGCGCGGATGGTCTCATTGTGTTCAGCTCGTCAAGACGCATCGAATGATATACATGATGACCTCGAGGTCACGTGACCTGAGGTCAACCTTTGACCTTGACCTTTCGAGGTCAACATATATATCATTCGATGCGGATCGACGAGAGGATCACGATGATGCCCTTAGTTTGTTCCTATCTTGACTACTTCGAAAGTTATTCGAGAAAAACCCTCTCCATATCTAGCGCCGCCATTTTGACTTTTTCGACCCCTGTGACGTCATCTTTGACCTGACCTGAAAATGACCTGAGTAAAAATTGTAGACCTTGTCCGTGCGTATCCGATGCCGTTTACCGCTTGTCGCTATCTTGCTTCGTTCTCGAGATCTCAGGGGGAGGGCGGTCATCCGCCCCCCCCCCCCCCGTCGGTACTAAGTTGGCGCAGACCCCCGTCGGTGCGCGGGTTAATATTACATTGCATATGGTATCGGAGCGGCTAAACATTACAGCCCACATGCATGGCTGCAATCACAATACCTACTAAGCGCTGTCCTCACCACACAGCAGTGTGATTAGGTACAAGTTTCATCAATGACATCTCACCGAAAACGTCCAGGCGCCTCAAGGACGGCGGCAGCAGCTGCAGCCACCGTCCCGTCGAGTCAGGAAGAATGGAGACCGTGAGCTCCTCCAAGGATTGGAGGGACTCCAGCAGAGCCGTTAGCTGCTCATCACTATGGCCCGGTGGAAAGATGATCTTCAAAGATGAACCGCAGGATTTGTCGTCCCTCAGTCTTAGTACTTTGATGTTGCCGGTATCCGACGGTATGATCAGTTTATCATAAACAGCTTCTGCGGGTAAGACACCAGTAAGATGGGTTACAAATGACAACTCATACACGATGGGAAAAATGGTTCTTATACTTCGAAGTACAGGGTGTCCCATAAGTTCGTTCTCACCTAAATTTTACGTTTTTAGGCTCTCTTGCTTAAAGACACGCTGAAATTGGTTCGTTACTGAGCTTACGTGGTTGCCATGGCTGGTAGAAATATGCTCCACAGTAACTAATTTCTGTAGACAAAATAGTTTTTGCTAGAGAGCCCGTTTCCTACACAGACGGCTAACGCCGCAACATAGAGGTCTCCAATACGGGTACGTCTCGGTATTTAGTCAGCACGTGACCATTCGCGACGATTGAGGGTGATTGAGGCCTACCAGTCTGTAGACAATGTCCTTCGCTAACTGGACGCACAGTCAGCAAGTGACACCGATGATTTGTCGGGAGTCAATCATTGCAAGTTTATCCTCTTTTTTGTCAGCTCTCAGGAGTGAGCCATGTGGCCAAAACTGTGTGGCGCCAAAGTGGCCATCAAAAAGGTCAAAGGGTTAGAAAGTTGGTAAGCAGACTTTTCAGGATGGATTACCAGCTGTCTAAAATTGTTCTTACGGGGTACATAACTCAAGGTGACTAAGCTTTGCTTACCGGAGGGCTCAAAACAGTCAAAAACGTCTTAACCCGCGCACCGACGGGGGGGGGGGCGGATATCCGCCCCCCCCTGAGGTTTTTCGCGGATAGCGGGAAAACCGCGGCGCGTAGCGCCGCGAAATTTGGTATGACTATAACCTCATCAATTTTACACATGGTGTGCAAGTTTGAACCTCCTAACTTTTAAGGTCAGGTCACCAGGTCACTTTGAATGACCCAACCTCAAGTCACTTTTTTGCAACTTTGTCACCGTGCCAGAGCTACAGTAGATGTCGGAGGCCTTTGAAAGTTGCAGGATGTTATTAGGTCATTAGTAGCTACAATTTGTATATCTCGGAATTTTGATGTCGGTGACCTAAGGTCAGGTCAATTTCGCGACCTCCCCATTATAAGTCAATGGGGGAAAAATCAACTCCCTGTTTTTACCACTAAAACGGGTCGGAATGGCCCCATATACCATACATGACTTCACATACGATCAACCTTCACTACCTTGAGGTCTGTTTTGCTGTTGGGCAGCTGTAAGGTCATATGACGTCATCAAAGGTCACCAAAGGTTTTTTGCCAATAACTCCTTACAGGAACAAGATACAGCCGCGCGGATGGTCTCATTGTGTTCAGCTCGTCAAGACGCATCGAATGATATACATGATGACCTCGAGGTCACGTGACCTGAGGTCAACCTTTGACCTTGACCTTTCGAGGTCAACATATATATCATTCGATGCGGATTGACGAGAGGATCACGATGATGCCCTTAGTTTGTTCCTATCTTGACTACTTCGAAAGTTATTCGAGAAAAACCCTCTCCATATCTAGCGCCGCCATTTTGACTTTTTCGACCCCTGTGACGTCATCTTTGACCTGACCTGAAAATGACCTTAGTAAAAATTGTAGACCTTGTCCGTGCGTATCCGATGCCGTTTACCGCTTGTCGCTATCTTGCTTCGTTCTCGAGATCTCAGGGGGGGGCGGTCATCCGCCCCCCCCCCGTCGGTACTAAGTTGGCGCAGACCCCCGTCGGTGCGCGGGTTAAAATGGCCAAACATGAGTTTCGTTATGCCTGAGGCTAAAAAAAACTAAAGGGCTGAGGACATCAACCAGGTCATCTGGACTAACTAGTCCACGTTCGAGATGAAACACCCGTCCAAACCCGAAAACAACCCCATAAGGGCGAAGGAGGAGGCCTCCGTTTCGTCCCGTTATGTTCCTATGCGAAAGGCCAAGATCACGGTATTGTGGGGTTATAGGCGTCCAGACGCTGACCAGGTTGCGATTGGTGTCCCAGAAACAGCTTTGGGAAGCATAATGCTTTTCCAAGAAAATCTAGGAGGAGTTTCAGCCCTCAAGCTGAACTCGATCCGCGAGTATGAACACATTTATAGAGGAGAAAATGGCATCCGAGAGGTCGTAGGCCCATCTTCAGGCAAGACAGTGCATCAGTGCACAGGCCAAGCAAAGCCTAAAAGCGGTGGAAGGAGACTGTGACAGGCGTTTGTGGCAAGACCACATGCCAGGCACCTCATCGGATCAAAATTTCATAAAAAATTGTTGGTTATGCTGAAATTTAGGCTCGTCGAAGCGTAGCGCTGTTCCAGCCTCGAGGAGCTCACGGCGCATGTCAAGTCAGTCTGGGTTAACTTTAAGCCTGCTATGCAGCCAAACATGCCGGTTGGCATGCCGCAGCATGTGTTCATGTGTTTGCCTATTAAATGGGGAGCACATTGAGGGGTCATAAATATATCAAAACGCAAAGTACTCTGTTTCACATGCAAATAAAATGTGAGAACGAACTTATGGGACACCCTGTACGAAGTACGAAGTAAACAAACTTTGTTTAATGTGGTATAACATATCACAAGTTCGGACTTCTGATATGACGCCCCATAATGGCACACACATCACATGATCGGTTGAGTACGTCATGTCCCATGCAGTAACTAAATGAGCAGTAATCGCCACGCACTTTGAGAATGTGAATCGCTCATGATGGTTCAATACAATACAATACAATACAATACAATACAATACAAAAGTAGAGCTATCAACCACACACGAATGGACATGCTGGATAGGTCCATTTATTTTCTCAAGTTCGACACCACAAAACTGGTTTGCAGTATCCACTGGCGGACCCAGGGGGGGGGGGGCATTTGGGGCAAATGCCCCCCTGCAGCGCCCGAAATCGACGAAAATTTGCGGTTTTTGAGGAATAAAACGAAAACTAAACAACTTTTACTAGGAAAAGTTTGTTTTAACCCGGCAGTTGCTGGGGTATGTCGCCACCCGCCGTTTGCTGGGGGGGGGGGGGGGGGGGGGCGTTAACCCGCGCCCTGGTGGGGTCTGTTTATAACGCAACCTGGTGGGGGGCTATTTTTTGCCCCCCCCCCTCGTATCTCCGAAACTACTGGACGGATCCGCAAAATTCAAACGGCGTTCGAAAGGCCTGTCAAATTTGTCGAAGGAAACCAAATTTCATTGACCTCGGGGTCACCGATGACGAAACAGGTCAGGTCAAAGATGAAATGTTTCACCGTTCACGGGTCTTCTAGGGAATGCGCTATATAACACCGAGGAAAACGCATTTTGTCGAGAATCAGCGATAGGGCGTCAGTTGCCAAGTAGATATGTTGCTATCAGAGGTCACTGACAATACCAGGTCACGTCACAGGTCAGGTCACATGAGCCCAACTTTACTAAGGTTGTGTGATGCATGTTTATGGCCAATTTTTCATTCCCAACTCAATGGTTTTGGTTATAGGACTATCAGGTACGGCTTAGGTCACTTTCTGGTGAAGTTCAGGTCAATGTCAGGCCAAAAAAGGTCAAATTTTAAAGTTGTTAGTTTTGCATAAAATGGGTATTGATTCGATGCAGCTCGTCACGGGGAGTCTAATTGTGGTCTTTGTTTTGGTCTACGGGGTCTAGAATTGCTAAAAATTGAGTTGGAAAATTTGACGTCATAAATTTTGAACAGTTTTTTCGCTATAACTTCGCCAAAAAAAGAGGTATCAATCTCAAATTTGGTATGAGGATGGTAGGCGGTAAGGACTATCACATATATTCCGGTTTTTGCGAAATTCAAAAAAACTGTTTGGATTTTTCGATCATTATATAAAAAAAAATATTTTTTGATTGTTGGGGGTCAAAATCCAAAAATTTCAAAAATCCGAGATAGCAGTTTTGTAGCCCTGTCAATTCTACAGCTTTTATGTGTTTATCATTTTTCTGTATTTGCAAAGCTATAGGCCTGACAGCTCTTCCCGCGAAACCCTTTTTTGGGTCGAAAACGGCAGAACATGACGTCACTCTGACGTCATTTCCGGCCAATCTGTCATAGCCTTTGGAAAAAAAATTGGTCACCATATGTAAAATTGATGTCCGGGAGGGTATTGAAAGTTTGGTGACGATCGGCGCAGCGGTTCTGGAGATATATCGAAAAGTCTGGAGGGGGGGGGGGGCAAAAAATAGCCCCCCACCAGGTCGCGGGTTAAACACCCCCAGCCGATAACTCAAGAACCAATAGGCGCAGCGAAACGCACGAGGCGGCAAACGAAAGAACGCGACGAGACGCTTCAGATGAGTAGGTACCTTAAAGTTGAATTTTGAGCTCACAGGTCGGGTCAAGGTCAGGTCAAACACCTGAAATAGGGCTTTCAGTAGCATGGACTTCAGGACTTCGCAATGGGCACCTCTCGTCACAAACTCTCTCAAAACGGTGCACAATCCTTCATATAAGGCCTACAAGAGTGTCAGCTCTATGTAGGGGTCAGTCAAGCATAGGTCAGGGTCAAGGTCAGGTCAACCGGGAAGGCACATATCCCCGAAAACCAAAACTAATATTCGCAGCCCGTGACACATGTTTTATGGATAATTTTGGACGTAGAACACGATGGTGATATTCATTTTATCATATCTTTACGTGTTTGGCTTAACCCTCGCCCTGGCAGGGCATTTTTCATAACACGGCCTGGCAGGGGGGGGGGTCGATGCGACCCCCCCCCTCGCGATTGGCTCCTATGGCACCTAGAAACACCAAATTTGGTAGGTAGGTGGGCCCCCTGGAGTTCTCGCCCCTGTGCAAATTTGGTTGCTCTAGGTCAATATTTAGGGGGGTTTTGGGGGGTATAAATGTAAAAATTTCGCTAAAAACAGGTCAAAAGTTTTTCGCTTATAACTTTTGATCTAATTAAGATAGAGCAAAAAGAAAAGCACCAGTGAACTCAGCACGTCAAGGCGCGTCGAATGATATACTTTTTAGCTTGCTTAAGTGTACTTAAAGTTTTTCTTAAATTTTAAGTAAACTTAAATTAATAAATTAAGTTCAAGTTAACCAAATTGCATCATATCGCATATCATTCGATT